ATCAATAGACATGTTAACATGGAAGGGAGCAGATATCATGGGGCCTCACTCCTAGACAGAGAACTATAGGCAACTAATGACGGCTGAAAGAACAACTGGTTTCTCCCAGGGATAAGCATCCCTTCCCCCAAGTTGGTTATCCAATACAAAGTGGTCAGCCCCGAAAACCATATACATACATAAACAATAAAAATATAACCAGTAGGTTTTATTTATATATTTGTTCAAAAACAGACTCAGAAGATAATATCTGTCTGTCTGTAATAATCAAGAAAAAGAGGCTATCAGTTTGAAAGTGTAGGGATGGATATGGAAGGAGTTAGAAGGAAGGGGCATGGGAGGGTCTGGAGTGATAAAAGGGAAGAAGGAAAGTGATGTAGTTATGTCTTCATTTAAAATGCATTAAAGTCATGCTCAAAACTCTGGAAACTGTTGGGGATGTAGCTGTTTGTCTAGTTTTTGCCTGCATGAATGAATATTTGAGCTATATTTCAGCATATTCCACATTAACTGGGTGTGGTATACACTCATGTAACCCCAGCAGGCCAGGAGAAACAGACAGAGGATAGGAGTTTGAGGCCATCTTTGACTAGATAGCAAATTAGAGGGTAGCTTGGGATTTATGAGATCCTGTCTCAAGGAAACAAACCAAACCAAGCCAAACAACATCACAACAAAGACTCCAATAAGCAAACACAGCACACTCCAAAAACCTTAAACTATTTTTTTCCTTAGGCTGCCCTGCTCTGTGTTCCTACAGTAATTAAAAGGAAGGAGAACAATCTATGGCATGTAGTTAAGGCTCTTGGAGTAGGCGTCATGTTGTAGCTGTGCATGTACACTCTGATAAATCACAACAGGTGGGCAAATGGGCTTATGCAAGTATGTGTTATGGGTTATATACACGTGAGCTTAGGTAAGCTTGTTCATATGCATGATATATATATGCATATATATGCATATATATGCATATATATATGCATGAGGGAGAGAATGAGTGGTCCTGCCACAGTCGCTAGTTGATAAAGGTCCGCATACTTCAGGCTCCACGAGGAGCTGTGCAATAGCTACATTAGACTTAATGACAGTGGAAGTAAAACGACAAAGGGCTTCAGTGATCAGTCACTGTGCCCAGCAGTGACAGAAGCTCAGGAAGACAGAACCCTGTCCTGGAGCTTACTTTGTTCTGGAATGTCTCTTAAATCCCAGATGAAGATCTCAGTGGAGCTGGCTGAGTGTGTTTGTGCTCTTCGGCTTCTGGGCATAACATCACCACACTGACAGTTAGGGTCAGGAAAGATGGCTCCCAGTGTTTCATTTAGGAACACGGACCCTGAACTGCTTATGCAGTGAGGCTGGAGTTTGTGCAAATTAAGTTGAAGGGAGTGGATGGTGTCAGCTCGTGGACCCCAGCAACTAGCACTAACCAGAATTTTCCCAGAGTCTCTCTGCAAGTCTTCCTACAGGGAATTGTCTCTATAGTCTTTGGTCCATCGCTGGTCTTGGAAGGAACCCCTAAAAGCAAAGATCTGATCACTTTAATTTCATTATCCAGCAGTACAGCCCTCCTTAAAGAGGAACAATTATAATAAATAAAAAAGTCAGTGTATGAGGGCACAGCAGGGAGAGTTGTAGCAATTTCTCTAAGGTGAAAATTGAGGAAGCTGCTCCTGAGAGTGGCTGCCTTCCTCAGGAGGCACAGGGATGCTGAGCAGTCTCCTCTGAGGGCAGCAGGTAGTTGACTTTTTCTTGCCCTTATGGAGTGATGAGGGGAAAATGATGCATGGCTTTTAGCTGATGAGTCCACTTTGCAAAACTGCAAGTGCCTACTTTCCCTGCACTCCCCAGTGGGTAGGGAGACACCAGCTTAAATTAGAGGCATGCAGGCACCAGCATCTTCCCTCTGCTTGCCATATCTGTAGTAACACTGTGAGGGAAAGGCTTCATTTTCCTCCTCCTACCAGCACCTGCCACTTCTCAAAAGCACCATGAAATAAAAGACATCTGTGTGTGGAAGTGAACCTCAGGGGGCCTCTGAGAATGCATTTGTTTGCTTTCTCAAACCACTGACATTGCAAGTTAGAACCGAGGGCTGAGAAGCCACACTTGGTGCTTGATGTACAGAGACACGGGAAACCCAATGAGCCAGAATGGTCCCCACAGGGGACCCGAGACCTCAGGCAGGGTCCACATTTTTGTGGTCCTCACTTAGCCTTCTCCTAACTCCTGCTGGGGGTACACAAGCCAAGGAGGAAACCAAATAAATTAGAGCTGACTCCAAATGTTTAAAGAGCTATTGGGAAATGAACCAAATTTCACAAATTCCTAGAGTAAGTTAGTATCATGTAGATCTACCTTGATGGATATTATTAAGAAAATAAATTAGTTCCTTCCTTCCTTACCTTTTTAGTCTCTTTCTTGCTCTCCCCACCCCTCTTTCCCCTCTCCCTTCCCTCCCTCTGTGTTTGTGTAGATGTATGCCTCAGCATCATGAACCTTGGGCTTATAGATGCTCCTGGCTTCCTTGTTCACAGGGATTCAGACTGAGACCCTCACACTTGCACCACAAGTACAGTACCCACTGAATCATCTCTCCAGCCCAAGGTGTAGCCATGACTGGCCTCAAACTCATGACCCTCCTGCTTCTGCCTCTTCAGCATATCTTACTGACATGAGTCACCATGACTGGCCAAAGAAGCATGATGCGTTGGTTAATTTTTTTTCTCATTTTTTTTTATTAGTTCTTTGAGAATTTTGCATAATATGTTTTCACTTTCCTCCTAACTCTTCCCAAGTCTCCCCACTTCCTTACCCACCCAAATTTTGATAATCAACATGATTAGATTAAGGAACATCTAGGTCAGTGGGATATACCCTGGAAGTTTCTATGAGCACATCTCTAGAGACCATTAGCTGGTGAGGGCTGTGAGCTGACTACTGGAGTAATTCTTAATGCATTTGAAACACTTTGGTATCATCGGGAGTGGTGAAAACAGGAGGCAGAGCCTTGGGAGGAGGTAAGTCACTGGAGATATGCCCTTGGGGTTATAAAAGCCTTCTTGTTCTATCTCTGCCTTCTGTTTCCTGGTAACCATGATGTGAACAGCTCCCATGCCCTACTTGTCATGATGGTCTGACACTTCTGAAAACAAACATGCGAACAACCAACACACAGGCCTAGAAAACTCTCCCAGCACAGACAGTGAAACTAAACACGTGTGTATGTGTTTCTATTATAAGCACAGTTAACATTTCCTGGGATTCATTTGAGTTAAATGAAACATAAAATACTTAGGCAAAAATAAAAGTAATATGTGTATATAAAAGGGATCCAGCTCTAATAAAGTTATTGAACTATCAAATGTGTCCTGTGCTCAGAAGAACTCTCCAGGGGAAACATGTCACACTCTGTGGTTATTAAGGGTTGGTTCTAAGCCTCTGTTTTTTTTTTTTTGGTAAGTGAGGTTACATTTATGATCTAATCATCAATATCAGCAAATGCCTGATGTATTCCAGGCTTGTGTAGAGAATGGTGCCCAAGACAAAGAAGCCATTGGGAAGAAGTAGTGGGTCTTTAAACACATATTTGTTTAGCCTATTTATCTAGCCCTCAGACTGGATACTTGTTCAAAAATGTTCTTTTTCATTTTGTCAGCTCCATTGCTTTCCTTTTAAGAGAGGCATTGGTAGGGATTCCCTACATTTCACATGCTTTAGAAAGTAAATGGGAAAGCAAACTGAAGCTAGAATCAGAAAAGGGAACACACTATCAGAGAAACTACAGGAACTGCACCCAAGAGCATGAGGTGGGCAGTGGTATCCTGGCCAACATGATAGCAGACACAGCCTGGACCCAAGGAAAATGGGGATAGAATAAGCTACATGAGATCACACAGAACAGCACTTTCCTCTCTAAAGCTTTTAGAAAGAGAAAGTGTGTGTGTGTGTGTGTGTGTGTGTGTGTGTGTGTGTGTGTGGCACTTTTGTGCATGCTTGAAGGCCTGAGCTCACACTCCTAGAACTATGTAAAGCTGGACACAGTGTTGTACATTTGCAGTCTCAGTACTCCTAATAGTGAGATGAGAAGCTGAGACAAGAGAATCCCCTGAGCTCAGCCTGGTGTATACAGCCAGGAACAACAAAGAGGAGAACCTGCCTCAAAATAAAGGGGAGGGTGAGGATGGATGCTGTGGTTGTCTTTCTGACCTCCAAAGGTGCACTGTGTCATATATGTGTCTGTACACACACACACACACACACACACACACACACACACACACACACACAAAGAATGAAAATATAAAAAGACTTTGTAAGAGTGTGAGTGTATGTGTGGTATACACACAAATAAGTACAAGATGCATGCATGTTACAATAATAGAATATAGCATAATTTAAGTGAGAAGGTGAGAGTCCTTGATTTGTCTCTCTTATTGTCAAGACACAGTGGCATCAATGACACCAAAGAGGGGTGGACACCACCTTTGTCCTCCATCTTGTGAATGCACTGTGGTGATGGAGGTGAATGGCACTGTGAGTCCTAGGGAAGGGCTTAGTAATGGAATTTTTAAGTTAATGGAAACTACACTTTGACGCCTGGCTAAAGGTTGAGTTTCTTTCTCACCCAAGTTGCAAATGAAGGCAAAAAGAGCTAGTTTGAGTTTGCTTTCACCTCATGTAGTTCTCATTTGCTTTCTCTGTGGTTTCATTTTCCAGCCTGGGATATAGGGAATGTCTGACCTATTAAAACAAAGCAGAGTGCTATGGTAATTAAAAAGCTAATTTTAGGCTCCTAACTACTTTTCTGCCAATGACCTGAGCATTTCAGACTGAGGCTTTGGAGGTATCTAGCTAACTATAGTTATGATTCATTTGTATCCATCTAGCTATCCACACTACACATATGATGCTTTGGCCAAGCTGGCCTGGGGTAGGATTAGCCAGTGGGAGCCTGGTCTGGCATTGTTTATTGACAAAAGGCAAATAATGTGGTTTCTTACAATCTGTGGTGATTTCGTAGGGAGAGTTGAGTCTGGCATCTCCGCAGGGGGACGTGCTCACATAGAGATGGAAGAGGATGTTTTCTCGAAGCCTGTAGCCTCCTTCCTTTAAATGAACGAATATTGATCTCTCGGAGTCCTCTCGATGCTTGCTATGGACACAAAGAGGATGTAGGTCACTTATGACAGAGCAAATGAAGATGTTCCTACAGGTGCTTGCTTTTGTCTTGTTTCCTGGAGTTAGCAGTTCCCCAGCTTTTATCTCTCGTATGTTCATATGCTGTTTGCCCCTTGCATGAACACTTTGGAAATAAGCCACAGTAAAGCTACCTGGGAATAAGCACAATCTGTGGAAACATTTCCCTCTTCACCCTCCTGAACATTCACTCTTTAGGTCTCTCTCTCTTTCTATTGCACATGCGCGCGTGCACACACACACACACACGTGTGTGTGTTTGTTTGTTTGTGTGTGTGTGTGTGTGTGTGTGTGTGTGTATGTGTGTGTGTAGGTCAGAGGACAACTTCAGGTGATATTCCTCAGGTACCATCCATCCATTTTTTCTTTTCAGAGTATTTAATTGGTCTGGAACTCATCATGTAGGCTAGGCTGGCTGGTGAGCCTCAGGATCTGCTTGTCTCTGACTCTTCAACTCTGGGACTATATGCATATGTCACTATGCCTGGCATCTGTCTGTCTGTCTGTCTGTCTATCTATCTATCTATCTATCTATCTATCTATCTATCTATCTATCTATCAATCATCTATCAGGCATGAATTCTGAGTGTCATACTCTGGTGCTCATTCTATATGATAATCACTTTACAAACTCCTCTCCAACCACTATGTTTTAGGTTTATCTTTTACAACCCAGTATCTAGCACTATAAAACCATAATCCTCTGTGCTGGTGAGGCCCCACTCATGGAGTGTCCTGGAGCAATACTGACTAAAGTAGTCTAAGTGGGCACCAGTGCAATAGAGGGAAAGGAGATTCTAAACAGTGTCTGAGCTTGGCTACCAACAAACTAGGTGGAAACAGCAAACAATGCAGAATTGGCTTTTCTTATCATCCAGGGTAGATCTAGAACAAACTCATGCCTCCTAACCTTGGAGCTTTATATCCTCTTCTTTATAGTCCTTAACCCCACATCTGAGCAGCCCTGCCTTCCCCAGGAGAGATGATACCACAATGGGAACTGAACAACTGAGCTATGTTTTCACTCCCAGATCCTTCTGTAAGCCCCTGGCAGTCTTCTTTCTGCCATTCTTGCTGTTTGTACAAGTTTTGCCCCATTGGTGATGGATTTTGTGTTGTAGGGCCTTGAGATTTCATAGGTAGCAGACTGGACATTATGTCCCCAGGAAGGCCCCAAGGCTACTATGCTCATGTGCTACCACCTCCTTCCTCGTGCCCAAGTGGACTCCTCCATCATGTGTGGGATCTTCTTCCATAGCCTTAGGAGCAACTGCATCCAGTCTTGGTCCCCTAGTGCAGAGCCAGACCCGTTGAGGGAAACTTTACTTGTTCTCGAGGCTCTTTGCAGTAATTTTTGGTATTGTCCTGTTGGACAGGGGTGGGAGTGTGGCTGTCTTTGACTATTCCAGATAACTGTGCAATGCCTAATACACATTGAAGTCTGGGCAAAGTTGGCTGAATTGTCTTCTGTGACATATACAGGAGGTAGGGGGGCTGGAAAAAACTTCCAACTGAATAGTTGGTATTCCACAGAAATCCCCACATTTCGAGAGATTCCCAGCTCTTGTCTATTATATTTGACCCTTCACCAGGCCTCCTGGAACTGATGTGGCAATACATCATGCTGCTATGCGCTACTCAGAGGCTCAGAGAAAAATTAATTGAGTGTATTAAGGTATTGCCTTTATTCAAGTCCGTTTGGCATGCATTTAAGGCTTTCCCCCTTTGTGTGACTTCTGCACATTCTACTAGGTTCATGTGAATGAGCCATTCACTAAAGCACCTCTGAGATGCCTTTATTAGTGGATTCTAGGAACCCTGTTTCAAATGACAAGAAAAGGGCAGCTGGAAGATGCAAGAAAAGAACACTGTCAAAGAGGCCCACAGCAGTTAAGCTACTGTGACTAGCTTGTGTCAGGAATGTGCACGATCTATCTGTGTCTCTGCTGGAGTTGAATGTATATTCCAGCTCATGTGACAGCCTGTTTTTTTTCTGATGGCTGCCACAAAGGCACCAGAAATTCCAGCATTGGAGCCCATTTTTCAGTACCTCTTCACTCTCAGAAATCCAAGTTAACATGTATTCTGCAGGGTTAGGAGATGGCTTGGTTGGTGAACATGAAGATCCCAGTTTGTTTCCTAGAATCTATGTTTAAAAAAAATCCAGGCTTGCTGGCATGTGCTTTTGATCCCATTGCCAGGGAGGCAGAGAGACAGGGCTGGTGCCTATTCCTCGCTGGCCAATCAGATTGCCTTGTTTGGGGAGTTTCAGGTCAGTGAGAGGTCCTGTCTCAAAACAAACAAGGTAGATGGCTTCTGAGGAATGACATCTGAGGTTATTTTTCTGACCTCCATGTGCACACATACATACACACACACACAGTGTATATGATTTTAGTTGCATTTCCTTATTTGAAATTTAGAAGAGAATGGAACATATTCGGTAATGTGGGGATGTGAGGAGATCGAAGGCCACAAGGACAGGGTGACTTGACTATGTAGGACAAGGCCTACAAAGTATTGAATACCTATGTCAAGATGGCCATTGTATATTTTGTAAGAGCTGTTTATCTTTGGTTTGCCCAGTGAAAACATCCTGGCCCTGAGATTAGGACTGGGGACAGGAAATAAAATGACAACCCATTTATGAGCCTGGCACCTGAGAGATGGCCCTAGCTAAACATAAAGAACCCTGAGCTATCTATGTTGGCTGAGAAATTCCCAAACCCAGACTGACCAGCGAGCAGAGGTTACCCTCTACCCTTTGTAGAAATAACTGAATTGTGAGCCCTGCTTGAAGTGAACACAATTTTGTCAGAATTGAGCAGAGCTGTCAATGTTAACCTGGCCCCTTTCCATGGCTGAAATGAAGGTTTTAACCAGAGAGCAAGCTCATCGATTCAAGTCATCTCACATTGCACCAAACACTCTTTCCATTCAATCAGTGGAATTACAGTTCCAGAGAACAATGACTCCTATTTCCAGAGAGACAGCCAACTCATTGTTTCCTTCTTTTTGTCCTCCTTCCCTCTCTTTCTCCCTCTCTCTTCTTTCCTCCCTTTCTCTGACCTTCATTTTCTTTTCTCTGTGTCTTTCCCTGTCTTTTCCTTTCCCCTCTTGGTGGTTGCACTTTTGTAAGAATCCTATGTGATCTGTAGGTGGCTCCCGGAACTGTAATGTTGTCTTGTCCTATTGACATTTATAATTTGAGTAGACTGGTTGGGTAAATAATTTTTTGAAGGTATGTTAGATCCAGGGATGGCTGTGCCCTGTGGTCTTGTTGATTTCCGAGTTTCATAAAGGAAACTGTTGTTTGAGGAATGTTGTAGTGGCTGCCCAAATGTTTTAATTGAAAAATAACCAAATGGAATGAGCCATGACAAGATGTATTGCTGTGTGCCTATGTCCCTGGGCACCTGTGTGGTAACCTGCCTATTTCCTGGAGTGAGGTGTTGAGTGTAATGCAGACATTTGGTAATTTAACACTTCAGTGTCTGTGTGGTATTCAAAGGGTGCTCTAAATATGAATAAAAATAGATGCTGTGTGGTGCATAGTCACTAAGTATGGGATCTGCTAGGTGAATGACACATTTTGAGCTGGCTGGCTGAGGGACTCTTTTCCATTGCCTAATTGTCTGGCTTGTTAAGGTGCGTCAGTCTTGCCCATGCCAGGGGCCCTTTTACCTCAAGTGCAGCTCCAGCTGAGTGTAGAGGAAGTGAAGAAATGCCCTCCTGGCCACAATTTCAGCATGGCAGTCGTTGACAACGAGTCCTTGGTCACTGATGTGCTCTCCGCTGATACACTTGGTTCCTGAGGACAGGACGATGACCTGTGCTTGTTTGGTGTCCAAGCCTAGGGGACACAGAGAGTGATCAGAAGAGCTTAGACTTGAAGGACCCCACTGCAGGGATCTTTTCAACCTTCCTGTAGCCACCAGCCTTGGTGCTTCTCTGGCTCACACTCATGTAGTGTCATAATTGATCTTGATTGTCAACTTGACTATAAAGTCACCTAGGAGACTTGTGAGACATGCCTCAGGGTATATTTATGAATCTGTTTCAAGAAAGGGAAATTGATGGAGATGTTTCATTCTGGATGTGATGGCACCATCCCTTAGGCTGGGACCTCCATGGCACAAAAGGAACAAAGAAAGAAAGTGGGGTACGGATAGTCTCCTTTTCACTGTTTCCCAGTCCACTAGGTTGAAAGTTTCTCTATCCTACTACACCATCCTAGACACGATGGACTGAAATCATGGACAAAATAAATAATTCCTCCTTTTACATTTTTCTTAGCTATGTCATCACAGCCACTCAAAAGTTAAGTCCCAGGCTGACAGGTGTCAATCTGAGATACTGAGACTGGAAGCAGCATGGTCACCCTTAAGTTTTGCCCCAGTGGCTGCTGACCTGGTGGGAAGTAAGGGCTTTCTTTCTTTCTTTCTTTCTTTCTTTCTTTCTTTCTTTCTTTCTTTCTTTCTTTCTTCCTTCCTTCCTTCCTTCCTTCCTTCCTTCCTTCCTTCCTTCCATTCTTTTATCATTTTTTTTTGGTAGCAGAAGCTTGTGGAAACATTGATATTACAGGGAAAGGAATGACAGTCATAGGCAAATCTGTCTCTGGGGGAGAAACTGGGCCACTACAGGGGTTCCTGTTGAGACTTTAAAATGGAAGAGGTTGGGCTCTTAGTTGTGTGTTCTACCAATCCAAGTTCTACCACAAGGAATTCTGCCACAGGTCCTTGCCCTCCAGAATGACTGTATCTTCCCTGAGAGATTCACTGAGACAGAAGTGTGAAGAGAGGAGTAAACAGAAGACAGGGAGTGCATGAGAAGGACTCTTAGCCTGGGCTCTGCCAGGCAGACACACCTGTACTTTCAGTGGAGAGGTGGCCCAAAGTATGATGTGAATATAAGTCCCTCACAGGCTCATGCATTTGCAAACATCACTGGAGGCAGTAGATCACCAGGGACAGGTACTGAGATTTCATAGCTGGCCCCACCTCCTATCCACTCTTTGCTTCTTGATCAGAGCTGCATAATCAGCCATCTCTTGCCACTATGCCTTCCTGCCACTGTGCACCATGGCCCCTGGAACTATCAGCTAGATAAACACTTCCTTTCTCACATTGATTCTTGTCAGCTATTTTGCTGTAGCAATGAGAAAAGTTACTAGTACTCAGAGTTTTGGGTAGGCACTTGTGTGAATGTGAGGCCTACAAACATAGGCGTTTATTTTCTCTAGCTTTCAGGATCCCTTTGAGTAGTGGAATTCAGATGACATCATTCCTCCACTTTCTACCCAAAATATACTTCTCTCTCTAAGATCTGCTGAACTCTGCCCTGTTTTCCTAAGCACACTCTTAAACATTGTGGGAACACATGCCTTTTGAAGTCTTATACCTCAGAAGAGGTCATCCTTGAAGCTGGAACAAAGTCCAGTGGTTTGGAACACTTGAGAGTGTGTGGGTTGTGTACAATTTGTGCCTCAGGAACAAAGTAAAAAGTTGGGCATGATTATGGGGCCGATGTTTAGGCGTCTCAGGGCACAGAGGTATGAAGGCTTGTGATATGACACAGGGTCATGTTCAGAATATGTCCGCTCCACAATCACATTTCACAGGCTGGGGCTGGGGCTGGAGTGGATGAAGTGGAGTCTGAGGGGAGCATCCCTTCTGTAAGTTATCCTGTTTAAGATTGGACACCTTCTCAGCAATGAGTGGTCAGTGCAGACAGAATGACCAGTCCCAATCTGAGATTACTGCAATTGGCTGCAGCCTGGAGAAGGAACTTTGAGCTGTGCCCATGGCAATTGCTTGGGATCTGGGCTTGGCTCTGAGCTTATTCTGGGGACTGTGATTTAGGGACACATACCCTGAGTCTTTAAGTATCTTTTCTCTTTGTATATGTTCATCATACATGGTTCTGGCCCACATAAGAAACTAATTTTTCTTTGACACACACACACACACATATGTACATGTATATGTATATTACATTCCAATCCCCATTTGACCCCCACCAACTTCACTTTTCTTACACGGGTCCTTTGTTCCACTTTTATGTCTTTTTGTTTTGTTTTTGGCTTGTTTTGTGACCCACTGAATTTAATCAGGGCTGGATGAGTATCCACTGGAGAATGGGTACTCACCAATAGGAACCTACCTACTCAGGACAATAACTTCTCAGCCCCAAACAGCCATGTACTGCCAATATCTCCCAAGGAGGGCCAACCTACTAAAGTCTCTCCCACATCTTTGATGGATTATTGATGGGCCCACTCTTATGCAGGCCCTGTGCAGGCAATTGTAGCTGCTATTAGTTCACCTGTGTAATGGCCAAGTCATGCCCAAAAGACAGCATTTTATACAAAGAACATCTTAATGTAAGCATATATTGTACATTTGATACACTATATCCTCTACCCTCGCTGTTCTCGTCCCTCTTTCTGACATTAGTGCCTGTTGTCTCTCTAGACACTTCTGCTTCTATTTTATGATATATACATATACATATATATATATATACACACACACACACACATATACACATGATTTCAGGCATCTATATATAATCTATACTTACTGAATCTTATATCTAAGAATAATGTCACAAATGCATAAAAACAAAGAAAGTGAGGGGGGTTCATATTGGAAATTGTAAAGCTTTTTCCCTCCTCGGGGAGCTACAGGATAGACGGAAGGAGGCAGGCAGTAGAACTTCTGCTCTCATCTAGCACTTTCTGTGTCTGAGAGGCAAATCTCTGAGGTTACATAGAGGCACCAAAGGTGAGCCCCAAATTATTTCTCTCCTTTCTGGTCTATTTAGGGGCCACACACCTGCTGATCTTTGGGGTCCATAAACCCTGAGAAGCATGCATTTTTTATGGAGTGATTTATACAATTGTGCAAGTGAGTTTCTGCTAGTGACCACAGGAAAGAATTATAACAGCTCTACTAGGACTGCCAGAGGCAATTTGTAAAATATCTCCAGTTATCACCACATTGTTTAAAAACTCTCAGTAAGTGGCAAGAGCAGAGAGTTTTGATACTACACTTACTGAAGGACCACATAAAAACAAAATCTCTTTGAGGTGTCAGAGAGGTGGCTCAGTGGGTGAACTGCTTGCTGTGCAAATGTGAGGTCCTGGGTTTGAATCCCCAGAACTGATGTAAAGTTAGGTGTGGTTGCCTGCATCAGTACTCTTACAGTGAAACAGGAAGTGAGGACCAGAGAGGCCTGGAGCTTGTAGGACAGCTAGTCAGCAATGACAAACTACAAAAGGTCCTGTTTTAAACAAGATGGAAGGTTAGGACTGTCACTTCAGGTTGTCCTGTGACCTCCATAAGTCTTCCTTGGCATGAGTACACACACATATACACACAAACACACACACACACACTCTCTCTCACACACACACACCACACACACACACACACACGCACACACAAAGAGAGAGAGAGAGAGAGAGAGCACTCTCTGACTAACCAGTTTCCAACCTAAAAATGGGGGCTACTTCCATCCTATGCCACTTTGCCATCGTTGATTAGATCAACTGTTAGGAGCTGGTAAATTGTCCGTACTAACATGGACATTTTCATGACTTATTTTTCACAAGACAATGCCCATTTACTCATAGCCAAAAGAACTCTGTCAACAAAAATGGCTCCCTGGAAATGAATTCTTGAAAACAAATTCTAAATTTAAAGCCTTTAAAATACAACAAGGACCACTGTTGTTTGAGCAGACCCCAAAAGACTACTATTCAAAGATTATTCTTTCTCTGGCCTTCATGGATACAAGTGTGAATACACATGTTCTTACTTTGATGGTGAATTCCTTGAAACTAGAAACCAGAATTTCATGAACTCCTCTAAGAAGGGGCTCCCTAGGAGTCTGTGTAATTAGAGAGATTGCTCCAGTCCCTGTTGGAGAGTCCATACAAATCCAACTTTCAAGGTCCTGCAACTGAAAGCCGGGTATGTGATTGGGATGCCCCCCCAGCTCTGCTCTCTATGTGAGCACACTGCTACTTGGCTAGTTTTGAATTCTGTGTGGTGTGTGGTCGGTGTGGAGTGCAGACTTAGCCTCAGATTTTACTGGACTCTGTTAAATCCTTTGATAAATTTATGTATGAACCATTTCTTTAAAGAAATGATATGCAAATTGGGCCCCCAGTGGAGCAGACCTTCCATTTTTAATAGGATTTACTTTTCCAAGTACAAACAGTGCTGAGAGCCTTGTAAAGCACTTGATACAGACTTGTTCTAAGTTGAGAATTGCTCCATTAAGAACTAAATCATGAAGCCTGAGTGACCTCTGTCACTATTTTCATCCCCAGCTTGAATCTTTCTTTGTGGTACAAAACAGGGGACAGATAGGGAGGTAAGGGAAGAATACTTAGCTTGGGGGGTGTCAGATGGAAGCCTGAGGGATGGAGGGCAAGGAGGGCAAATGAATATATGTATTGGCTACAGTTAGCAAAGGTCAACCCTCTATCCATGCTATCACCTGCATGGTAACTGTGCTGCCTTTTCTCCTGGACAGCTCCCTGGATGGAAAAAAGAAATAAAAAGGAACATGATTGCTCCTAGGTATGATGAAGGAGAAGGTTTATGCAGGAGAGTATAGCCAGAGGCAGGGACATCTGGGAGAGTCTAGAATGGATATGACCAGACTGAACCATCTGAGGAGAGGGGGAGGGGGCAGAAAGAGAAACCAGATGCAGCAGACAAGAGACCCAAATGTACAAAGAGAACAGTAACCAAAACAACTGGATTCTATCAGGAAGAGCAGCCTAGCCCCCCTGAGCTGGAGAGTTCAGGCTTGGGAGCCAGGAGGTCCTCGGGAGAAGCA